GTAGAGCACTGTCAAAAGTAGTGTCATTGAGCTCGATATCTTTTGTAGAAAGGCAGTCATCCATTTCATTTAATCTGATTGGAAGATTCGTCTTATGAAAAGTTCTTGAACTCGCTTGCTGGAACTGTTCGTGTGGAGTCATAAATGACAAACTCTATTGCACATCATATTTGGTACTAAGCTATGGTACGATTTCTTCGAGATTAAAATATAGCACTTTTGAAAAGCATGCTGAAAAAAGACCCATTAAAACGATAATCAACCAGCTAGTTGTCGAAATCTATCGATGAGTTTATTTTTCGCTATAGTTTTTGCTATTCAATCAGTAAGAGAATATATATTTATATCTGATAAAATCGGTAAATATACAAGAACGTGATACAGAAATGAACTTCACTAACGAGAGAAACAAGATTTCTGTAGAATTCCGAACTATCCTTTAAGAGTCTGAATAAAATTGCTAATTTCTTATGAAAAAAATTGAGTCATGTTCAACTCTTCAAGATAAATTCGGTACATTTTTCTCTATTAGATGGATGGCGAGCATTTTTGGAAGCACATACTAATATGAACAAGATACAACTGTACATGGAACTGATACCTGGTCACATCAAAACAGCTCTGACAGTACTCGTTGAATCCCCTTCAACACGTGTTCTTGTCAATATTCTTCCAAAGACTCTAACTGAAATTGAAAAGATAGGTAAAGCATGTGTAACGCTCTGCAATCAAACACATAACACATTCGTCACAGTCATGAATTTGCTGGGTGAGGTAATTGCGGTTACCGAAGAAGCTCGTGGCTTGCAAGAGACCAAACTTTGGGAAACTGAAGTTGAACTCAATGCATCTCGCGCAATGCAAGATGCGCTGAATAAATTAACTGATACTATCAGACAACATTATGAAGACGCACGTAAATCAGTACGCACAGCTCAAGATGAGTACTCAAAAGCACTCAAGCGTATCCCAACTAGTTTCAAAGGACTTCTTATGGACTTGGGTCGTGCAGTAATCGGTTTAGTGTCGTTATTTTCCCAATCGGTGGCTACGAGTGGAGGAAAAGGCACTGCAATTGCCACGTCGCTCCTTACAGGTCAGTCTCTCACATTTGGAAAACTCTTTGGTGAAGCACTTGAAAAACTGGCTGATCGAGTGATTCGTTTTCTCGACGGTGTTAGTTCACAAATAACAAATCCACTTACAGAGTTCGACGCTTTCAAAATTACTTTTGAGACATTTCTTTCGTCAATCAATGGCGGAACTCCAAGCGATCTAAAGACAAAAACTAGTGAACTAATCAAAGAGGGTATATCAATCACCAACGATGTGTTCAATCTTACCAAGGAAACAATTGAAAAGGGTCAGAATATTACAAAGGAAGCCGCTAATGACCTTAAATATCGCTTAAATACACTTATCGACAAAGTGAAACCTTTCATCGCTGCTGAATCATTCAATGGTGCTACAGTACCACCAGCATCTAGTTCTAGTGTGCCGACTTCAAGTGACTCATCTCAAAACGAAAAGTTTGTTGCAGAAATGGCGAAAGATCGACTGATCGATGCTGAGCAGCGTTACGACGCAACTTTCATGGAGTACAAAGAACACCTACAAGAAATGGCAAAATTGATGGGCAAAATGGCCAGATTGGACATGACACGTATCAACTATCAACAAATTCTTGAACTAATGCGAGAAGCTCTTTCGCTACTCGCAAAAATACGTGAACAATGGAATCAATTAGTGCTGTTTTTTGCTGAAATAGCAGTACGAGCGGAAATCGCACTAGGTGGTACACTAGGTCCCTTCATCGATCAAGCTACACAAGCGGGCGCTATCGATCTATCTCAAGAAGAACGACTTTTCTATGTCGACTTACTGAAAGCACAAGCAGTCAATATTCATAAAGTTTCCTATGATTTATTCATTATGTCACGAACTTATGTAGATATGTCGAATAGTTTTCTAATGAAACGTCTCGCTGGACTCTCTCAAATGCTTACTACAAATAATGACAATGAACGTATGCGACTTCTTAACCAACTTTCACACGAGACAACGGTTGGTCAGGACAAAATTATCTCTTTGGTCAATGAACGCAAGGCTAATTACACTCAAGCAGTAGCTAAACGACGCTTAGAACTCGATACATTTATTCAAGGACTTGGGGGATCGTCACAACTTGATCTGAATGCCATCAATGACGGAAAGAAACTTCTAGATCTGATACCGACACCCGATCCCTGAAGGCTTGACATTTTTTAAAGCATACTTGCAAAGTTTATCATTATAACGAAGAATAACATTTTTGTTTCATCATAATCTAGAAATACAAAATGTGTTTAAAATCTTGTTTTGATTGATACATTTTTTGGGTGATTCATAAGCCATATGCACTGCTCTGTTTCAAAGCGTATTTTGAGCGTAAATTTAGGATGGACTAACTGATTGAGCTTACTTGAAAAGTGATTTGATAATTAAACGAGAAATGCAGGGGTACTTTTAGTTGATTGGACTTGTATTAAAACGTAAATTCAAGAATATCATGACGATGAAGATAAAATTCACGCATTTTCGTAAAACTTGCAAAATGCATGCTTTGCTCGTGGATGCGGGTGTGGGTGTGGGGTATGTGTTCTGTAAAAAAATTCGAAGAAAAATAAACGCTTGAAAGGGTTGATGGAAGTACAACGTATAAAAAGCCTTTTCTACCGTTTATGAGAGAGTCATAAACCCTTTCAAAAGAAAATATTAAGGAGTTTATGAATTTCAAATACTCGGTTTTAAAAGATTTATGATAGGGTTCATAGGATATATAAATCCTTAAAGGGTTTGCTATACGCTGCACTTTCATAAACCTATAGTAAAGGTTCATGAGCATAGTAAATCACTTTAAATACTCTTCGAAACTCTTTCTGAAAGGGGGAACCGGAATTTTCAGCACGGGAATTTTCAGCACGGAACGTTCAGCACGGAATTTTCAGCACAGGAACGTTCAGCACTACGAATAATCAGCACGTTGAATTTTCAGCACGCAAACGTCCATCATCAAAAACCACACCGCGAGGGTCTTGGTGTGGCTGTAGGTGCCTGTGGGTGTAAGTGAGATAATAAGCGTAGATGTGGGTGTCGTTGCGGGCGGAGCCATAGATGGAGATTTATGTGTTTGTGAGGTTCTGGTGCCGATCTGAGTGTGAATCTAGGTGTGTGTATGGACGAAAATGAGTAAGAAATACACTCCGCTAACCCACACATAGAGAAGGACGCCCAGTACCAGACCAACACCCATCCGGCACCTGCAGCTACGCTCTTACGTATACCAAGAGCCTCACAGTGTGTTTTTCATGATGGACGTTCGCGTGCTGAAAATTCAACATGCTGATTATTCCTAGTGCTCAACGTTCCTGTGCTGAAAATTCCGTGCTGAACGTTCCGTGCTGAAAATTCCCGTGCTGAAAATTCACCAACCCCTTTGTGAAAGAAGTTCTTTACAAAAAGAAATGGTGCAAGATAGAACTGTTCTAAACCTCTGGAACCATTTTTTATCTGTTATGGTTCCTTATAAAAAAAAAAACAGTGTAAGATAGAACTCTTATAAATCTCTGGAACCATTTTTTATCTCTTATGGGTTTTTATAAAAAAAAAACAGAGCAAGATAGAACTCTTCTAAGTTTCTGAAACCATTTTTTATCCATTATAGTTCTTTGTAAAAAGACAACAGTGCGAGATAGAACTCTTCTAAATCTCTAGAACCATTTTTTTATCTTCTATGGTTCATGATAAAAAAAAGTGGTGCAAGACAGAAGTCTTTTAAATCTCTGGAACCATTTTTTATTCACCATAGTTCTTTAAATTATCTAGAATCCTTTTATGGTTTATTAATAAAGGAATGAAACCTTAAAAGGTTCAGAATCTTCGCTAAAACCCTTAATGGTTCCCTATGACACCTTATTTTTTTCGAGTGTAGTCATTGTTGACTGAGTATTTGTATCTAAAATTAAAAAAAGATTATTTACTGTGTTTGTTTACGTATAAGCGAGACTAACCTGCTGCTCTTTCTTTCTGAATCAACGCCATGGCAAGATCGTCAGTCATGTTAAGCTTATCATGTGACTGGAATTGGTGCGTTTCCTGCATTCCCGGAATTATGTCATAAAAATCATCGGGTACTTTCAGTAATTCAATAGACGGTATTTTACTGAACAGTATATGGTGGAGATCACGTTTGTAGCAACGAACGTTACAAATACCGCAAACACCTTCTTGCAGAGAACTCATCAACATATGTTGAATAAAGTTCTTTAAACAGTTCTTCTTACATTCAATATCAATAGATTTTGGCCATTCAAAGTCGTTACTTCAAGGGGGAAACACCGTACTTTGTACTTTAAAGTACTTTGATGTACTTTAAAGTACTTTAAGGTACTTTAAAGTACTTTGGTGTACTTTAAAGTACTTTTGTGTACTTTAAAGTACTTTGATGTACTTTAAAGTACTTTGATGTACTTTAAAGTACTTT